TCGAGATTCCAGCTTTTGCAGGAAACACTGTATATGTGTGTTGCAGTTATGGATCGCTTCTTACAAGTAAGATATTTTTCAGCTAATGTTTGTGTTGGGAGACTTATTCAATTACTGCGTTAGATTTATAAGGAAAGGACAAATCCTAAGAACCTACACAGTCCACTCCTTGTGTAAGCAGTCTGTATAATGTTGCGTCTTAACTCTGAGGCTGCCATCCTCTTCGAGCCTGTTATTGTAGGGATGCTTCTAAAGTCTCATTCGTGTTAGAGGAGTAAGCACTGTCATTATGCTGTTTTAAAATGATAAATTAGAATCTGTTTATCTAGAGTTTGACATTCTGGGGCCTGCTTTTTAAATTCGTGTATTGCAGAGTCATCCAGTGCCTCGGAAGAGGCTTCAGTTGGTGGGTGTAACAGCACTGCTTCTGGCTTCAAAATATGAAGAGATGTTCTCTCCTGATGTAGCAGACTTTGTTTACATTACTGACAATGCCTACACCAGTAGTGAAATCAGAGAAATGGAGATCGTGATTCTTCAAGAGTTAAACTTCAATTTGGGACGACCTCTTCCAATTCATTTCTTGAGAAGAGCATCAAAAGCTGGGGAGGTGGGTATTTGTCCTCATTATCTAGAACTTTCTTGTATGTGTAAAGTCTTACCAGGATTGCTTCTGGCACTTTTATCATGTGATTTTATTTTTTATTTTTTTTTTCACTAACTTTCTGCTTACATGCTCTGGATCAAGAAGTTTAGCTATGGAACTCCACCACGTGGAGTAACATGACAACATCACTGTGGCAGCCAGTAGCAGTTCATGTTTGTATTTATGGCCACTGTGTTCAGTAATTTTACTGTTAAACACACCTGGAGCAGAATCCTTGCTTTTAATCTTTTGTCGGGTGATTTGAGCATTCCCTAGTACAAAGGGGAGCAGTGTTACCGTTCCTCATAACTTCTGAGTGTAAATATTGTATTATTTAAGAATAAAAATACTGACTTTCACCAGACAGTGAACTGTCTCGAGTGAACTGCCTGCACTTGAATGGCCTTCAGTTACCTCAACAGACCACAAAAGGAGCATTCATATCCTTGGTTGGGCATAGCAGTGCCTGATACTGCAGTTTTCTGTCTCCCTTGCTTGACTTTGTGTCTGAATTCTAAATTGGTGCTAGACTGGACTGGTTTGGACTCTGGTCTCGATTTTGAGAAGGGTGCCTGTTAACAGTATGGTCCCTAGACCATAGTAAAGATTTTTGGTGGCTGTTTTTGTCAGTTAATGAATATAATAATTATGAATTATTATGGCAAGATGAAGTGAAATTTTGTGGATTAACAAGCTCTCCATCTGGTAGGCTGACGCTAAGCAACATACACTAGCAAAATACCTAATGGAGCTGACGCTGATAGACTATGACATGGTTCACCATCGTCCTTCAGAGATTGCAGCTGCTGCATTATGCTTGTCCCAAAAGCTTCTGGGACATAACAAATGGGTAAGTATTTTAATTGAGTTAGTGAAGGTCACGCTGTAAATAAAGGTAGATCTTAATAATTTTCATGATACATGCAGAGTAATGAAATTGTGGACCATGAATAGTGACTTGCAATTCAATTACTTTGCAAGTGTTGCTGCTTTTATCTTCTGCTCACTGTAGAAATGTGGTTCGTGGCATTGATGTGTCCAGACTCCTACTGTGCACCAGAAGTTACTCTGGATCTAACAGTGCTACGGTTCCTAGCACTCAAGGCTAGGAAGCTTAGGGCATTGGCTACCTGAAGTGACTGTGCCTTGCACAGCAATCCCCACTTCATCAATCTTGGACCTCTTACTGTTACACTGCAGGATGCAAAGCAGGAGCACTACACTGGGTATACAGAAGAGAGTCTTGAGATGACTATGAAACATATGGCCAAGAATGTGTTCAAAGTAAATGAGAACTTAACTAAATACACTGTAAGTACCACTACTTAAATCTTCTTTTTTAAATGTTTTAGAGAGAACCTTTGCTGTATGTTTTAGCTCCTTAGGTAAATGTTCTGTATGTCACCTTAAAGTCTATGCTATTCTGGTAAGGTTGTTGAGAGGGCGTTGCATTAGTACTAGCTTCGAAGTATTTTAGATGAACTGTGCTCTTGCTGGTTTGCTTGGCTCAGGCTGGTTTGCTTGTAGCTTTGCTTGCTTGTTTACCAAGCAGTCAGGCTAATAGACCCAAAATTATAAAATGTTTTACATGCACAGTATTTATGTTCATCTTGTAACGCTGTTCTCTACCTCTGCAGGCTACAAAGAACAAGTATGCAAGTAGCAAACTACTGATGATCAGCACAATCCCTCAACTGAACAGCAAGATAATCAAGGACCTGGCTTTACCACTCTTGTGATAACCCTAGGCAGCAAAGTCCTGTTGGTATATGCACTTTGTCTTTATCAGCCTATTGAGGCAAAACTACTGCGCTCCTTGTACATAGTATTCCAGCTGTACCAGAGACATTTCAGGTTTGGAAGGTGAAATTTTAAACTTTCTTTGTAATACAGTTCTCTGCCTAGAAATAAAGCTTCTCTTTTATGAAAAAGAGTGAATTTTAAAGGCTCTACCTAGACACGTCTGCAGTTTAATGTCCAAGCAAGACATCTGTATGAGTAGGTGACTGATACAGCTTTTAATTAATGTGGATTATTCTCAGTGGTTGTTTCTAGTGAGAATCTCCAGGCTTTATGGTGAATTTAGTAGCTTACTGTTTTCACTCTTAAGATACGAAACCAGGCAGACAGTTGATCTTTTCTTGGCGTCCCTCAAATACATACTTTTATTTCAGTGTCTGGTCTCAAAGTAGTATACAGGAATTTCTTTGTAATTTGTTACCTTCAGATTTGGGGAGGTGGGTAAGCTGGCTGTGACGCATACTAGCCTGATAAATATTTGTGTTTAGGTGAACTTAAGACAATGTATCCTCTATCTCTGTGTACCTAAACAAAAAGAGTTAAGGTAGGGAAAATTCTCAGTCTCATGTGATGCTGACCCCTGTGTGCAGGGGCTGTAGGTGTGGAACTCTGTTCTTAAAATCTGCTTGATTTCTCAGACCCACCCCAACCCCCCCCCAAGCTTTCCATTGCCACTTCACTCATACCAACACCCCCTCTCCTCCCCTTCCCTCCAATAAACCTTTCTACTTGGGAGAATATAGTCCGACCTCCCTTAAGTAGATTCTTCCTTATCACTTCCCATTTTGCTTTCCTTTGCTGCTATTAATTAGTATCTGTATATTCAAGGAAGACAACTATGTAAGTAATAGGTCTTTTCTGCCTCAATACCTCATTTAAGCCTATTTATTTGTTAACTTAGTGCTATATAACTAATGTAAAGTTACAGACCTGTGAAGCTGCACTGATCTTATTACCCCTCTTCTCCCAGTGTCTCCTAGTCATGAGTGTGCTGGCTCTGCTGTAGAACTCAATACTGCAAAAACGGCCTAGACTTCAGTTCTCCCCCTGTGGGGAGGATGTTGAAACTACTGCATTTTATCTTGAGCAGGAGACTTCTTTCTCCTGTAGGATAAGTCAACCTAGCACTTACTGCAGATGGCCTTTTGAAACATGCTTGATCCCTTTTGTGTATATGATTCCCCCCAAAACTAAGGCCCAGCTTCCAGGAGCAGATTCTACGGTCTGTTATGCCGTAATGGACAGGGAGTTTAAGTAAGTGTGCCTAAAGTAGATGTAAGAACAGTTGAGGAAGGAGGGGATTCAAGACTTACAGTTTATCTTAAAGCTTATGCAATGTCTTAACATACACAGGATTTTTTTTTTTAGCTGCTCTTAACAGGAGAAAGTGTAACGCACAGCACTTTGGCTGGGCACAGTGAAAATGGTTTGGAGCAAAGGAAGGGGAGTTTTTTTTTCTTCAGAAATCAGGGCAGTAGAATCAACAGTCATTGCAAAGGGATGTGTTTGTATATGTAACTAGAAACAAACTGCACAGAGAACAGACCTGTTCAGCTGACTGCTGCTTCTGTTTTATTTTCTGGAGGTTCAGAAGGCAAAGCATGAATGGTGGTAACTGTATGGCAAGCAACAGCCACTCTGGTATGGGAGGCAATCAGATTTGAGCAGTAATGGTTTTGCCATTTGAAAGGAGTAGTGCATATCTGTAAGTACCTGGCATAAAAAGTCTAGAACTACTTCATGAATTAACAGCAGTGGAATACTACATTATACATTCATACATGTTTCTATCATACTCAGTTTTTATATACAGTATATGATCTGTTTCTATAAATGTACAGCTCTGCATAAAGACACTTACTACAGGTAGAGCATTAAATCCAACATGGGCCAGCCATATTACACTATAAATCTTAAAGAAGGCAACATTATTTAGCATACAGTACTATGTGGTTTTCTGTTTTAACTTCTTAGACTGCCTGTTGGAGTCCCTAAACACATCAGCAAACACAAAGCAGTTCCATTACAACTCTATACAGAATTACTTTACACCATCACAGTAGGTTTTTAGATGGTAATATCCCAAATTGGCCTAAATCCTTTCGACATGTAGCAGCATACTTAGCATGTTCCCCAGAATGATCCGCATTAGAGGAAATGCGCATTTAGCATCTTCAGTAGATAACTGCAAAGGTTACTGATATTTAAATGTTACTGATACTCAGCTGAAGGCACTTATTAAATACACCCAGTTCAAAGTCCCTGGTCCCAGACTGCAAAGCACCTTTCTGTTTCAGGAAAATGGTAAGTTTGAGTACTCTTCGCTTAATAGGCGTTAAAACCAGGTTTTAAATATAATAAATAATTGGTCTGTATGTCCATTGCTGTATGCTTCCGAGACACATGATCAACGTCTCCGCTGTGGGTAACTTTCTTCCTGCTCATGTACAACTTCACTGGTGATAATGGCAGATCTCAGAACCATCATGTCCTGAAGGCAAGGAAAAACATCTTCAACCACAGGTAACTTCATGCCAGTTTTTGTCCGAGTCTTTTATATCTTGGTGACATAATTGTTGGGAAACAGACCTTGTTTCCCTCGCAGTCTTCCTGTCCACCAGCCAGAAGGATCTGTGACAAAGAAAGCAAAGTAGTGAAGTTCTGTAAACTTTCTATATACCTGAAGAGGCAGCTTTGCAAAGCTGTTCCACAAAGCGAGAGCCTTTTTGTGAAGGACTGAGGACAAGCGTGGAGAACCTGAGCTTGCTAATCTCTTGGCTGCATCACTGCCTTACAAAGTTGCTTTAGAAACACAAAAGAGTCAGAACTGGTTTATTACTTTCGTGGTTCTTGTGCTGTAGCTGTAATCTAACTTTCAGCCAGAGCCTGTGACAGAATTACAGAATGGGAGATCTGGATACAGATCTGGAGTAACAAGTAATGCATACCTCACTGATGAGGTTTGTTTGGCGTGGGTGTGGAGACTTCTCTACTCCCTGAGCTAGCATAGACATTTGCAAGCTTAATGAGGGAGGGTAACAGGGGGGCAGCTCAAAAAGTCATGTCTTGGTATCAATACGTACCTTCTTTAATTATATCAATCACGTCGTTGGCATTAAAGCTAAGTTCGTCTGTGTCCTGAGCATCATATGCATACAGTGCCCTGCACTGTGGTACCTGAGGCTTAGGCTTGGGCTGTGGTTTTGGCCTTCCTCCAGCTGGTGGAGGTCGGTTTGTCGTCTGCCTGCGAACCCTGATGGGAGAAAAAACACAAATATGCTTTGAAGTATGTGACTTGAACCTAAGCCTTATCAACCCCTCTTGTGCTAATGGACTGGTTCTAGAGCGTATCACAGAACAAGGGAAAAAGGATTCTTTTAAATGGCAGAACAATTTAAAACCACAATCTAAGACTTCCTTATGAAAGGCCCAGTTGCCATTTCTTCCCTACTGAAATGGATGAACAGGTACTTCCAAAGAGCAGTTCAAATGCATAAGTGCTCAGTGTAGCATTTTAGTGCTCAGGCTAGAATGTAAACAAATGTGTACATGCAGTTCATGTGTATCTTGGCAGCTACACAGTTCAGTCTGTCTCTTCCCGTACCCCAGTTTCACTGTAGTTTCCAGTATTAAAAACAAAGTTCTAGCTCACAGTCTTGCTACTTTACCATTCTTGTGACTAAGCTGTAAGACACTGTCTCTCTTTTAAGTTGCCTCAGACTCCAGGGCCATCTATGGACTTGTTCTGTTATAGTCAACTCTGAAGCAACAGGGGAGATGCTGCACAAACTCTGTCACAGCTGTGACCACTCCAAAGATAGGAAGGGGAAAGAGGGAAGAAATGCATTTTGTCAGCTCATCAGGTAATAAAGGCTGGAAGAGAGAACAGGTATTAGATGCAATATGTCAGTTTAATGTAAATAATAAATAAATGTGATGAATGATTAAAAACACTGCAGTAATGTGGAGGAACTAATTGTGATCATGTCATATAATGCCATAATAACATCACACAGCTCTTGCAGAGGCTTGTAGTTACTTATGGTAAGTCCTAGACTTAATTTTTGTTAGTACTTTTGTCTAGTTTTGTGTAGTGAACTGCACCAGAAAATGAGCTTTGAAGTATGGGTTAGAACAGTGTTTCAGTTCTAAATTTATCTATCTACTGTTCAGCATGTATTGAGTTTGCTTGGGATAGGGTACCTTGTCAAACTTGGACATGTGTGGAAATAAAAGAATTCAGAGCAAGTCTTAGAAAAGTAGCTTGGCTTTTCTGCAACCACAGCAGGGCAAGAACATGTTGAATGAGATGTTTTGCTGGTGAGAACATGGTGTTTTCTAAGTTAGGTTTGTATTGGATTGTTAATGGTAACGGAAAGCAAAAGCTGTCATAGTACTACTGCATCCTTAGCAGCACCACACCCCCCCGGTTTGGGCTCAGCCGTGCCGAGGCTCCATCAGGAGTTCAGAAACACAGGGGGGCTCTACTCTGCCCTTTGTGACTCAGTGGGAGCTCTCCTTCACCTTCTGTGCCTTTGGGCTGTTTATCAATCTGTTCTAGCTCAATTTTCCCTTTGTATGAAGGGAAAATTCCCATCCGTGAAATCATTTCACAGAGGAAAACTTACCTGAACCACTCCACTGCTGCTGGATGTAGTTAGTAATGATAGTTCTTTTGTGTACAGTAAGAAAGGAGCTTATAATGAAACTGTAATTTTGGACAAGTAATTCCTTTTGGTCTGTTACTACTGTAAGACTCCTCTCAGGTGTTTGTTTTTCTTAATGGTGAATGTATTGGAGAAATGTGAGTGCTGGGAATGGTACTGTGCAGGGAGAACCCCTCCGGTGTTGGGCCTACCTGCCACTTCCATTTCTTTGTGAGCCTTACTCTGCTCTAGGCTGGCTTTTGGGAGCTGATCTATTTGTTGAAGGCTCTGTTTACTTAGCTACATTACTGCGTGCTCCAGCCAGGTCCCTGATGCTTGTGCTGGCCAAGAATGACAGCAGTTTGCGGGCAGCGAGGCGGCGGTGGGAAGGAACGCACCGCACCGCTCGTCCTGGCAGTGTCAGCCAGAGGGAAGCTTGGCCTGCGGCGGTGCCCGTGTCCGACAGCAGGGGGCGCGCGGTGCCGGCTGCTCTGTGCCGACACGCACCCACACACCTTGGTCTTGGTCACTGCCAGTGCTGGAAGGGACGATAACCGCGTTGTGCCTATGATGGTGACTGCAAGTTGCTCCTCTGACTGTGAGCTCAGAAACACGGGGTTATTTGCACTAACAAAGCCTGAAGTATGCTAAGTGAAAAGACTCCAATTCCTAGACTAATCCACCTCTTTTCAGGAGTCGCACATGTAAATTCAAATCATTACCTACTTGCTTTGATGCCCATCTGAAGTCACCCTCATGGGGCTGCACTCGGCTCCTTTCAGAGCTGGCACTTTCCACCATTTCCGCCCAAAATACTATTTTACGCTTCCGGTAGGAAGCACAATTCAATGAATTTACAGAGTGTAGTGGACAGGCAGCAACTCACAAAGGGGAATGAAGTAACTTTGCTAGGCCCTTTTTAGATGACATTCCCTTACCTTACACGCTTTGGCGTGCTTTGAAAGAAAAAAATCCAAACCACAACACAAACAAAAGAACAAAGCAAACAACCCTCACTCCTCAACAGCCTCTTCCCTCAGAGTAAGTTACGTTACTTTGTGCTATGTTACTCAGTACTCTTCTGCTTTAGTTGTGGCTTCCCATAGAGAAGCTCAACTTCTATAAAATCTATCCAGAGGGAAGCAATGGATGCCTGTTCCTTACTTGTTCTGGTTGCAATTACTGCTGTGGCTGTTGGTGGGGTTTTTTTTCTACCCTTCTTGAGCATATTCATCAGTGAAAACTGTGGCAGGCAGCAAAGATGTCATTTAATACAGTGTGTTTTGCTGGAGGTGTTTATCATGTGTGTTTACCTGAGCTGTGGAGCATAGACTTGTGTCTGCACTAACCATTACTATGCAAAGTTATTACACTTTACCCCAGTGGATTTTTACTCTATCTCCTAATAGAACTTCCCTTGTTATTTAATATGCTCTGGGACTTGGTTACATCAGAATTAAATAAAAGGAAGTAATCGACAAGGAGAAAACACAAACTGCTTACTCAAAACCAGCTTATTTCTCTTTTTGTGCTAGAATTGCTGAATTGACAGCATTCTTTAACAATTAAGTGGTGCTCAAATTCCCACTATAGTAAAGCTCCACTGATGTTCTACAAGAGAGTGAATAAAAAGGCTAAATTGAAGCAGTAACCGTTCATTGAAAAGCTTAAAATCTTGCAAGGCCTTTAACATTCTGGAGCACTAAGGTCCTGTAAATACTTGACAGAAGACTTCTGTCTTTTGATTTCCACAAATTGGAGGTTTTGCCTGCTTCTGGATTTTCAGTCAAGATCTGGAGCAGCTGGTTTCAGAGTTGACAACAACTTGTTCTGCTTCCCTCCTCTAAGCCCCTTATTTCTTGGTTCTGTCTTTCTGCTACTTCTGGTAATTTGTTTTGGTACTCTTCACTCTTGGTTAGTGTGAAATACCTAGTGACCTAATAAGACCTACTCCCCCCCTCAAACCTTGCAGGATTGTCTTAGGAACATATTCTGGAAGGCTGCAGCTTACAAGTCCAAATGATGCTAAAATAATCTTGATTGTCATACTGCCAAACTTCCTCCTTAAAAGGAAGTACAAGTCTGGTGTGTAAGTTGGGAGTCGAAGGTGGAACAAAAGGACTATTAGCTGCCACAAAATCTGCTGTTCATGATCTGCAAGCCAGAGAGAAAGAAAGCCTAGTCAAACTCTGCTTAAGCGTCTTCATATCCTTAAGCAGAACTTACCAGGCAAATTTAAGGTATTAACTAGAACTGGTTCAGCTTCATTCCTAAAGTCTTACAATGGAATATGTATTTTGAAATCCTGTGGAAGATGATGATACCTTTGAGTACAGCTCAGGAGCACAATCTGGTCAACTCCGTACACAGTGTAAGTCACATGTAAGTCGGTTTGTGTGTGTAAAGCTACTTACAAAATTGACACCTTTTTCTCAGGTTTAATGTAAAATCTTACCCGGCTGCTCCTTGGTCAGGTACTTTCAAGAAATCCAAGCTTTCTGGTTGCTGTGAAATCTTGCCTGATCCTCCTGACAGTTGCCGTGGTAAAGCTGGACGTGTCATATTTGTGTACAGGTTTTTCTCACTGGCCCGCTGGTTTCCTGGGACGTGGGGAAGTGCTACAAACTGGGGGGGATTTATTACTCCATTTTGCTGCTGACCTAGAAGTAAATAAAGTGTGAACACATCCACTCCAAACCATAACTCAGGAGAAGTAACCTTTTCCCTGTGTTGATGGCTCAGCTGTCAGATTTGGCTGTCAGTGAGACCTGGCTAATGAGGTACTTTAAAATTAAACAATGTTGATTTAGACACAGTTTGGGGTCTGCTGGCAATCTCTTTTTGTTTCACATCTTCATGGACTTGTGCTCAAGTTAGAGACCTGTGCCTTGGATGTTACAAACAAGAGGCTGTCTGTTCAGGACCTGTCATAAGCACTAGGAGATATTCAATTACAAAATGCCATACTGCAGGAATGAGTATCCACTGCTGCCTTGGACATGTGTGCAAATTTACATCCAAACTACCTTATCTATGCGAGGTAAGTTTGGGCAGTGTCTGCAGGCACAAGGCTTCTTCAACCAGTGTTTGGCTTTTTCATCCAGCTAAAGAACTGCTGAAAGAGTTTTTGAAAATACCAGAACAGGCTTTCCTAGCTTTAACTCACTCTGTATGAATATTTGCTATCTGTTCGCAGACAGGTTAACTCTCAGCTGCAGTAATTTCCCACTTCACTACAAGCAGTTGTTGCAGACCATGCAGTCCTCAGTGTGACTCCTACAGCTGTGAGGATTGGGAATTGTCTAGTTAATCTGGTGACCAAGGCTGGTTGCACACCCATCTCAATAAACAGCAGCTGACTGAAAGTATTCTGGGAGTTTTAGTAAAAAAAAACAAAAACCCACTTGGGGAATGTTGTGTCAATGGAATATTGTTCTCCCCTCTGAGTTCACAAGCTAAATTAATCATATCTCTCCAGAGCAGAAGTGAAACACCCTAATGACATCAATCCTATTAGAAAAAGCCATGCTGCTTACTGGCACAGCTGATCCATCCCAGTGCTTAGCATACACAAAAGTTATGTACCAGGGTACTGAGACATAAATTGCATTCTATTGTTTACTGGCACTGAAAGCAGTTTCATTGCAAAGCACTGTCTATGACCTGAGAAAGTGTACAGTTTTTACCCCTGAAAGGGAAGCGGAGAAGGCTAAGGGGTAAGGTTTAGATTCCACGTCCTGCATTAAGTGGCTGAAAATGCCAGCATCCATGACAACCAGGACATCTCTGGTGGAATACCAGTTTGACTGTCTGCTGACTCAAACAATACAATGCTCAAACAATGCCTACAACTTAGGTTTTGCAGACAGGATCTTTTAAAGAGGATTTAAAACCTTTACTAGGATTTAATGCATAAAAGTTACCAGATGACGAGAGCAAAAGTGAAACCCTGAATTTTGAATTTTGTTTTTGCCCAAGGCTAAGAGGACTTACCAGGAGGAGGTGGTGCGGCTCTCATAGGGTAAGTCTGACTTTGAGACCTGTTGGAATACCCTCTAGTTTGGGTAAGGTTCCGTCTAGTAGGACCTAAAAAAATCAAACCATTTTATTATCTAAGGGTAAGTCCTTCTGGCTGCCTGACCCCTGCTCTGATCAGAAAGTGCTCATCTGCAGCAGTAATGAATCTGACATGTACAGCACTGGCCACGTGTTCTAGAGCTTTAGGTGCTAAAAGGATGACTTGGGCATACTCTCCCTTTTGTGAATATAAAGTAAAGTAAAGCTGTCTCAAGACTACAGTAAACGAGGTGCAGAAGACCGCTAGCTTTATGAACTTGTTTATAAACCATGGGTAGCTGGCACAGCAGTACTTTGGACTATACTGTTTCTGATCAGCAATTAGTATGAGGAAGAAGGTAGGACACGAAACCTGAGAGGCTGGTATAGTTACAGCTCAATCTTTAGTGATGTACAGAGGTTACCTTTCCTCCTATCACAACCTGTCTTGTCCTGATGCAGACCTTTCTTCATGAGCTAGACTATAAGAACTGCAGGAGCTCAGCAGAGTGAAAGACTCCTCCCCAAACTACTTGGCTAATTGTGCCATTTGTACTATGTCAAATGATTAAATGCTCTCATTGCTTTTGCCACAGAGCAAAGAATTTGATATGGTTCAGAAACGGTATATAGTGAAAGCAACAACATTCCAGCGTGACTGTTAGGATCTGTAACTTGGATCTTCATTTAAGCGTTACAGAGACATAATAAAGAACACGCTGAGGCTAAAGGCAAGCAAGGAGAGAAAGAATCACCCATTCTCTAAATTTCTAAACCATTCACTAATACGTAAAGGAAATTCATACTTACGGGAGTTCTTTGGTAGCCCTGGTCCAATGCTGATCTGCAGCACTTTATTACTTGGCTTGAGAACAGCTATGTCTCCTTGGCCTTGCATAAACTGCACTTGCCGAGAACCACTACTGCTCCAGGGCCCCCAACTCTCCTTTTTCAGCTTCACTTCAAGTCTAATATAAACATGTGAACATATGAATAAAAATATCAGAAGTACTTATGTCAAACTGGGACAGTATCACTTGGCAGCAGGTAACTTAAAAATATAAGAAGCTTGGACTAAGAATCTGTATTCCCTGAGTGACTCGGGTGCCATAAACTGCCCGATTACATCTCTCCTTCATGCTTTTTAAAATGTCCTTGTTAATTAATGTTTTAACTTTCCTGGTAATGCTACTTAAAGAAAGCTTAAGATGCCCCAGAGAGGTTGGAGTGTACAGTGAGCATTTACATGAACAAAACTTTTATTCCTGATCCTGGCTGTGGATTCCCAGTGTACAGGCATGTATAGGCATGTTTCACACTTCAATTGTCCTCCTCTACACCCTTCCCAAATTAAAATAATAACCTATTACCTTTTCTACTTTTTCCACTTTTTCAAATGAAAGAAACATACAAACCCAAGGCCTGCTGTTGCTAATCTGCATAACACGTAGGAGTATTAACAAAAGCTCATGTTTGTTGTAACAGTTTCCAGCATGTCCTTACGGCTAAAATGCTCATGAAACGTTGTGCAGATTTACAGCCTTGTTCCTAAAAAAAGCTCCCAACAAAATTTACCTAACGAGGCTCCTTTAGAATTACCCTGTCATCTGCAGTCCGCGGTCACTACAAGAAACTTCAGAATTTCACTGTTACAGTATGTCTCCAGAACTGTCTTTCAAACTCTTCATCGTGTTTCCACTCCTAGGTCAAGGTTAAGGACTTGGAAGAGAATGCTCCCTTCTCATGATAGGAAACAGCAGCCATCACAGAGAGGGAGATCTTGCACTATGGATGCACACATTAATGGTGCAGCGAATGGCCTGGCCCTTGCTGTGGGGTGACAGCTCTGCTGGCACAGAGCTGCTCTGTAGCACAAAGCTGAAGATCCCTGAGGCTGATGCTGTGTTCAGCAGAACAAAAGCAATTCTTCTATGCACACGGACAGTGAAAAGTGGTAGACGGCCCAGGTACAATCCTATCCTATTACTTGGATGAGCTAAGCAGGAAGTCTGCTCTCCTTGCACATACAGGTTTTTACACTGTGCTGTCTCTTATTATTTTAAACAAAGCATAGTGTCAGGAGCTCAGTAACTAGCACTTACTTACATATATTGGCAGACAGAACGAAGATTATTTATTACTAAAAGCCCATTGAAAAAAGCATAACTCACGTATTGCTAAATTTCAGAGGTAGATTTCTTTGTGTTTTTTCTTCGTATCGTTTTGATAAGAGGCTTAAAAACTCAGTTTTGAAGACCGATTCGAGCAAACTATCATATTCCTGTTCATGTAGAATGAAAATGTCATCCTGCATTGTGCTGGAAAGAAATCAAGAGCATGTAACATCCAGATTAAAATTGCACCAGCAAATACAGCCAGCATTATGATGATATTTGCAGAGTACCCATGGTTAGCTTTTAAAAACATACCCAAGTCCAAGCAGCATCGATTACAGTCTTGCTTTCTGAGAGCAAGGTTAGGGGTTTTTTTCAGGAGCTTTCTTAGAGACAGGAATACTACTTAGTCATTTTACAGTAATTACTGTTAGCAAAAAACCATGCCATTAAGATTACAAGTAAAGGCCATCTCTTCAGTAATGACAAAACTTGTGATTAGAGGTAAACTAGAAACTTGAAGGTTATGAAAGTAAGACTGAAACCTAAAGCAAGCAAATTTGGAATGAAAGCTTTCAACTTTTTGTTGGCTTCAGTTTGGACTGGTTTAACACAGTGTACAAACCCCATGCTGGGTTTCACTGCCACCTTTGGATCAACCCCTATTTACACCTTCTGTAGATGCTACAAACCACTTCATAGAAAATTATATCCACATCAGTAATTTGGCAATGGTGGTTTCTGCCCTCCCAGAGTCCCCACAGTAAAAAGACTTCTGCTGTGTCCTAGCCAGGATTACTATTGTTCCAGCATGCTTCTAAGGTTTTTGATGTGTATCATTATTCCTTTGAACAGCATGTTGGCATAGTTCCTAGCTATAACTACACTGGAGCCCGTCTGTTTCTGCATCCTTTCTGCAGAGAAGGATAAACAAAGCTTTCCAAAGAAAACTGTAAGACCTGAAAATAGAGGCCACGGGTTCCCCACTTATTTCCTGACTTGAATAGCATATAAGCAACCACAGGATGCTCTGGTTCCATTTGCCAATCCCCCAGTAAACCAACTGTATTTTGAAGCTGGTTAACATCCACTGGGTGAGCTTACAGAACCAGGTCACTGCATGGGAGTGCACTACTACATCAGACACAAGAGAACAGTGGGAGCATAAGGGGAAGGGACTGCCCCCTGAACAGCTAACCGTATTTGCATTGGATTAGAAGAAACCTTGAATTTCATGTGCAATTTCGTAACAAATTTAAATCAAGTTAACAACATTGTTGTGCTGTCAGAAGGGGCAGGCTTCCCTCTGCTCCTCACCCTTTTCATTCATGCTAGAATCCACCCCCTTTCCTAGCAGATTAATTTTCTGCCTCCCTTACTTTTTAACGTCTCATCCATATCCCCACGCAGCCACCTGAGAGCTATATGGTCTAGGAAAATGTGTGTCTGGGAGAAGAGACAGCACAAGACTTTTGACAGATGTGGAGAGCTGAGAATTGCTCAACCTTATCACAAAACCATCATCTCATCACCAGCATGGGATTTCACATAATGGAGTATAATCGCTGAAGAAAGGAATATTAAGTTAAACACTGTTAAATATTCCTGGCAGAACATGTGTGGCTCCATTTCATGGTTGTTTAGTCTGCGGCAGGGAGTCTGAAGCCAAAGCTTCTCTGCTCTTTTGTCAATGTTGTTGGTCAATCTGCTGCTGCTATTACTAATACCAGAAAATGCTATTTTACAATAGTAATTTATTTCAGTAAATATCACCTACTAAGTGAAAAAGGCACTCTCAGTTTGCTGCTGGATTTAAAACTGACATTCATTATGAGTTAAGGCTGTGGAAAAACAGGCAGGTTGCTTTGGCAGCCAGGTGAAGGGCAAGTCAAAGTTACATATGTGTCTCTAAAACCCAGCTTCTTTCAATAGTTTGCAGAACAATACCATCACACAAAGAAGGCACCAACAGCTCACCTTTATCTATATATGTATGTATTGCTCCAGAGTTTCAGAGTAACTCCAAGTAAATTAATTAAGGGACTCAACATTCAGCTCAGGGAAAAAACCCAAACCCAAGCCCTATTTCATTAGGTCTATTTGCCTTCATTACTGTTTTCTGATCCTAATTACCCAGCAGTCAACAGATTTCCACTTTGAGCATGCTCCTCCTTTTTCTTCTCCCAGGTGGTTTGCCTGATTGCCGACTATAAATCTGAAAAGGGGAAGCAGGTCTTGCTTTCTGACCCCAACTTCTCATCTGGTTACTGAAGACGTCTGACTGTGAGTACCTTTTTGTGCAGAATTAAAAATAGCTTCACAGTGTGCTAGAGGTGCTCTTGACTATCATGTAAGAGACTTGAGACATTAGGTAAAGGATGAATCTACCTACCACTTGTGTACTTCATTATCTCCTTTCAAGTCTTGAAATCCTCCCCATAGTTTGGAAAAGTGTGTATGAAACTACAAACATACCTAATTGGTATTCAAAGGAGCGGTAAGAAAACTATGAAGAGTAAAAGCATGACCTCCTTTCCTGTCCTCAAGCAAACTACAATCTCAGCAAGGCTTTGAATGAGATGTGTCAGAAAAGCCCAAGACCTCCAGCAAATTTTATCCAGTCAGTGGTCCTTTCTTTTTCTGATCTGGCAAGAGACCAACTCCACAATACTGTCAGGATGTCCTGTGTCACTCCCTATCAGAGGAATTATAAAGCTCAGTTATTGATTTATTGCTACTAAAAATGCAAGAACATTTCCATGAGTACGGATTGTCCTTCTTAGTACTTGGAATAAATTCCAAGTTGGGCATTTGTACTTTAAATTGCAACTTCTTTAGTAATATAAATTGTTAGGAAGTGTTAATTGCTGCTAATTCATGTCAGTAATGCTAATTATTCTGCCTTTGTCTCTACACGTATTGATACAAGCTTATGTCAATAATTTGTGCATAATTTCTTGACGCATACTGTTCAGACAGCAATGCAAGAATCCAGTTATCCTCTCTACACCATTTAAAATATATTTCATTTTGTACTGATTTAGCTAAAACTTAATATTCCATGAAAAGTTGGTTGGTTTGGGTCTGCCCCCTCCAAGTACATAATAGGTTACATATGTACTAAATAAAGGATTCAGTCTAGTTTTACTAATTGTAGAGTGTTAAGTATTACAAGCACTAACTCTTGTCACTGACACAAGATTATCTCAGATTTGAGAGAAGTAGTAACTTTCACAGCCTCTGCAGCCACACCATTGTATTACTATTACTCCAGTTACACAGAGTTAAGAGATCCCTTGATTAGACTCGTTTTGAACTCAGACCATACCAACACAGTAAGAGGGAAAAGCCCACTTGCCTCCACATAGGTTTTTAAGGGTTTGGTTTTGGAGTCATACATGGACAGTTTGGTTACTTGCTTTTAGCATATACAAAACCAGATGTTTTTTACAACAAAATAAAATCAATAAGCTAGGTTCAAAATATTATTGGACATAATATAACATACGTGTTTCCTCTGAACGAAGCACGTTTGCCTTTGCTTCAGAAGGTTCTGTGGAACTGCTACTGACATGTGAGAGGAGTGTAACAGCTTTCACTAACTTGGCAGGCAGCCGTTCTTTTAGCTGACTCAATGTGACTGTGCCTTTGGAATGCTACAGGCCCAACTGGAGCGTCTGGCTGCAATCTGTTCAAGGTTTCACAGCACGCGGTCCAGACTTTGAGCACTACAAAGACAGGTTCTGCTCTCATCTTTAACCTACATCTACTATAGTTTTGTTGCAACTTTCCTTATAAATATGTATGATAAATAAACAACAGGTCCTGAAAATGGTAGTGTCAGTCAGCGGACACATCTTACAGGCGTTCCTGTAATCTTGAAATGCCTGTGAAGACTACTGCAGAAATGAAATCTGCTGTTTTGAAGTACTGGATAATGTCAGTGACAAGATTTCTGGCTATGCTAATGGGAACATTTTATAAGCATATACTAAAAAACCCTCCGCAGTAGCTATCAATACACATTATTCAACTGTAGACTTATAGTTTGTTATTTATTGCAGTATTTAAAGTATACTTCTTGCCATGGATCTGTATCATTTTGTATTAAATGACACCCAGCTACCAGCTCTGATAAACTGCAATAACAAATACAGAGGTATCCAGAGGCTTTGTACACTCATCTTCAAAGGGATGAAACGACATAGGCAAGAACACACTGGTCTTATGGGCAGTTTCTTCATGGTTTTGCTCACCTAACTGGGTTTCTCTGCTCTATGTGGACAACTCAGGTACTCCCTGCAATCTGGGACTGGCTTGACATTCAGTCAACAGAAGTGATGTGAAATCCAACTAGAAAAAATTAGTTTAGTAGATCACCAGTGAGATAACACCTCTTCAGGAAGCAGTGGACATGTATGTACAAGATGAACTTCTACAAGTAAGAATTGTTTCTGGGATCCAAGCTTGAGCCATAACTTAATAGAATGTGCTTGTGCATGGTGAACGTATGCTTCACAAAGTAAGTTTTGGGGATGCACCAGATTGGTGAGACCCAGTGTGAGTGAAACGTTTTAACAACTAGTCAGAAAATGTTTGTGTGACTGGCTATAAACATCTATTGCTATAGCTCACTTGCTAGGGCTGGGAGTGAAAAAAATCAAGCTTCAGCTTTCTTTATTTACAATATTCAATTAATACAGCTTAAGAAATCCACACATTGTCAACCAACTTATTTCCCACATCCTACACAAATTTCTGTGTCAATGGAAAGACATCTTCAAGGTACTGACCTTAGAGAAACAGAAAGAATTCTCTCCACCTCCATCCTTCGCTTTAAGACTTCCTTCACTTGGCCTTTCTCTGGACCCTGCTTTATCTTTTCACGCCCAATCAGGTATATGCATTTTGGAGTGAGGACAAGGTCTCGCTTCACACTCTGAAACACAAAATTGTTTGAAAATACACAGCATGATCGATGCGCTACTGTTGTGATGCTGTTCCAAAGATATATGATGTACTGTGATTTGGGCAATGCTGTTGGCATTTGGTTCAAGTGATGGGATTAATGACACAACCTCAGAGTCAGACTGCACCAGACAGTAGCTTTGTTCCCCATTTCCTAACTAATGTAGTTTTCTGTCCAGCAAGTCCTATAAAGCCTTCACCCTGGGACAAAAGGTTTGACAATGGCAGTGTTCCAGTCACAAGGGTGTAGCTGCTTCCACGTATGTCTTTTAAGTCAAAGACAATTTTTCAAGCTGGAATCCTAGATGGTACGACACTAACATGACGGAGTTTCTGTTAAAGGATGGCAGAGCTATCTGCAACTCTTTAATGAACTAATCATTAGTGGGTGTTGCTCACAAACCTACTTTAAACCGTCTGTCGTATTTCGTTACAGTGTCTGCAAAATCAATCTTCTCTCGTTTGCCTACAAACTGGCGTAGCTCCGGATGGTCCTCCATGCCTATGTAATCTCCCACAAAATTCCTGTTAATGCTGTTCCGTCTTCTCTCTTTCTTGTTCAGCAACAGATCTGATGCTTAAATACCAAAAATAAACATTGATTAATAATATTTACTGAATTTTCTAAACTCAGGATCTGAAAGAGCTAACTGTTCAAGCAGAACGTTTTGGGAAGAAGTCACAACCAAACTGTTTGTAATATGGAAAAAAACAGTGAAGCACTATTACCAATCTTCTATATAATGATGCATGTGATTATTAAATCCATTCCTAATGAAATACACCATTAGCAAGCTCAGCAGTTCTGGTGAATCAGGAGCACTTCTGGAACTACAGAATTTCTCGCTGCTGGAAATTAAAACTAGCTCTCCCAAACCCAGAATGTTAATTCACATAACCCAGGTCACATGCAATTAAGCATTACAGTCCTCTGATTAATCTGTATCATCTAAGTCCTGTATAACTGTGGGAACATCTTTTTCACTTCCCTGGGAACATGTCTGATCAATGTCCTACTCAGTCTGGCTTTGCTTTGAGAGCAAAACACTGGGTAGTCCAAGAAATCCATGCATGCAGAGCAGCCAACCTCTTCAGTGGTATCTTTGGGGTCCAACACTTTGCAGTCATTCCTAGACAGTCATCTGCAATGCCATGGTTAGCTTTATACAGAGGGAGATATTTCCTTCGTCTCTTGTGGCACTCTTTCCTATAACCATGTGTGAAATACCTGTCATCAGGAGTTATGACCTACCTTCTTCTCTCATCTGTACGTATTTTTTTCTGGCCACATACTTCCTCCATGCCTTCTGGATGGCTCTGGCATACCCATCGTACTTCCTCTCTCTCATCTCTTCTAACAAAAATAGCTGTACAAAGAAACAGTAGGCTGGGTCAAACATTTAATGTAAGAAGGGCAAGAAAAAGCTGTATTTTACTTTCAACAACCTTCCAGTGCATTCCACTCTAGATCCAAGCTGGTGCCTCTACCACAACTACGGATTCTGAGATCAGAACGTTAAGGTAACTTTTTCTGAACAAAATCTCTAATGCTTGACTAGTTCTGGCTTTTACCAGTCTATCCATTCATCCTGATACCCAGTGATGAAAGAAGAGGAATAGGGCTTCTCCCTGGAATATTCTACTGGTACAACTTGAGGTTCTCCTCTGGGCCTCCATTCAGCCTCCATCTTCTCATTCTCCCATTCTCATTCACATTTCTCTTGTTAGAACGTTACCATGTCTCTGGGAATCTGTGCAATCTGTAACACAACACACTGTATTCACATGCAACTTCCTTCCCTGTCTGAATTTCATACTCATGTCCATTGGCTCCATTCTTTCCCAACAATGAAGTTTGTCAGCTGGCTTCAGGATTTACAACTGTGATCCTAAATTTCAGTATGACAGAATAAGATTTTTGGGTCCAAAATGTTATCAGAATTCAAGAGAAAATGCTGATGTATCAAAACAGAAACGGAAGGTGCATCCCCTTTTGAGAATTTCCCTGGTCAACTAAAATGCATGTAAATTTAACACACTAGAACAACTTCTATAGCCTTTTGCTTACTTTAAGTTTAGTTCAATGTTTTCTTGTCTCACCAGCACAAGCATTAGGCTAACAATTACAGTACTAAATCAGACCACTGAAATGACTGTTACTAATTATTTCCCTCTACTGTGTTCTCTATTCATAAGGACTTTTCTTCTGGCTTTCAAGAGACAAGATTAGTCAAACCAGGTATATCAAGAAGCAAACCTGGCCATTGGGATCCCTTTTTTAATTTGCTGCCCTAAGCCATGCAAATCTAGAAAAATACTGTTGTTCACATTGATCTTAAAGAGGAAACTCGATCTAGTGCCAGCCGTTTCCGCAGAACCTCGCTTACTCGGTACAGTTATTTATTCAGGTGTTTAATGGAATGTAAACAACGAAGCCTCCTTTCTGCCACCCATAAAACCTTACTTCACAGTTGGCAACTCTCCATCTACAGCAAACTTATTAAAAGAACCTCTTCACAAACACTCAAGCTCTAGATGGGGTTTCAGCACACAGGCCTCCTGATACAAAAGCCTCCTCAGCTTCAGCAATGGCATGATCAAGCCCTTGTGCAATTCAGGTTACAGTAACAATATCGATGTCATCTCTTGTGAGTACTCACCATATATTTCTCTAACAATAATACTATAATTGCAAAATCTCAATGCCAAGTAGTCTTATCACCTGCAGCTTTAAGGAAGTTCAATGGAAACACTTAAAATGTGGTTCTTAAGTTATAAAAACACTGCATGAACCCTTTCCTAAAATGTATTATAAATCCTCCCCTCATGCTTCCAAGCAAAACACGTATTTTTTCATCTGATTAACCAGAATAGGTGAAACAGCACCAGGTGCTCTCTGGTGCTAGAAGAAATTTCATTTACCATCTAAAAGATGAGTTTTCTCCCAAGGAACATAACTTTAGCAATGTGAGAGATGATTGTCTTTGATACGAGAAGATATAAAGCTTTAGAATAATTCAGCTCATACTAATTCTTTTCAACTTAAAATGAAAAAGGCCCAGACTATTTTTAGTACTTGCTTAAAAATGGATTTCATGGCTTTTCAGAAAATAATTTTTAAAGAAACCACACACAGTAAATTAAAACTTAATTTAAATTAAACCAATAATGCAACCCAAAAACGTTTTATTATTTCGCATCAAGCTCATGTTGTCTTAACCTGCAATACAGGCCACCAGTAGAACTTGCAGGTACACCATTAAATGGCATACACATGCAACCAGGACTTAGCATTACAAAAATGCATTAGAATGGGAATGTGCATCCACCAGAATATTTATTTCTCTTGGAAACAACCTAGTAGCATATGATGTTGGTTGATGAATGTTTTGGTCATTTCAGAGTGAAGGGGAACTAGATCCATCAATCCTCTGTGAGCACTTGCCATCTGGCTACTCAACAGAAGACAAAACACCAGCAAATGAGTTAATTCCTTTCTTTGAAGAAACAAAACAAAACCAAACAAACAAACAAAAAAATCCCAAAAAACCCCACCCCACCAAAACAAAGCAAAAAACCCGAACAAACCACAAAAAAACCCCAAGAGTAAGACCCACCCCATTTGTGGAGATAACGTGGCTGAAAATTTGTGCTCTTACAAAGGGCAAACACGCCAAGCTTAGCATGTTTTAGCAGCCAGGAAAGGAAGTTACAATTTATTTCATAAAACTGAAAACAAAAACACTTTAAAATTTTGGATTGCTTTAACCATAAAGTAGCATAACATTGAGAAACCAGCCATCACACTGATTAGTTTAGTTTCTCCCCTTGTTTATCTCCTAAGCTGAGACTGTATTTCGTTCATAATTAAGTGCAATAAATGGCATGGATGCAAAGTATTTTCACAGTGAAAACAAGAAAATCAGGTTTGCTACAGTGTGAAATAATGAACACCAGGCTGGAAGATGTTGCTTAAATTACTAATTCTGGTTCCTTATAATTACAAGCAGCTAAGTTGTCTGTATTAATTCAAATAGATACTTGACCAGAACGTGTACTTGCCACCACCCTGAAATAAACTGCAGGTCATCAGTAAAGGACTAGAAGTCACAACTGTAATGTCACAAGAAGAGATACCAAAGACATCCGCTAATGTCCAAGGCTATCATGCTGACTTTGCTAGAGAGAGCTCCACAATTATCTTACGAAATTAATCATGGCCTGTGCTACAGAGGAAAGCAGATAAAGCTCACAACTCCTCTAATGGCTACCTAAGGTGTTGCTTGCAATGACTAAGTAGGATTAATCCTATACTAGAATGTCCTGCTCTGCCAACATGCACCTACGTATTCTAATAACCTACCTCTTGAACACTACATGCTCTATCACGTAAACCTGTCTCTCGGACAGCCTTCTGTCTTCTCATTTTACTTTCCTAGGTAAAGCCCCGTTCTTCCTGAACAGAGGTGATACTATCTTACCCTATTTATGGTAGAAATGACACAATTTCTGTTACGCCTTGGAGAAGCTTTATTGTTTTCCCTTTAACAGATACGTTCTATGTGATTTGGCACAGCAGTGTTGCTGCCCGAATTGCTGTTGCTCTACACAGCAAAAGAATACATTTCTGGAAAAGAAAATTATGGCAGTAGGAGAGTTCTGGTTTTATTTTGATATGTAACTTCAGGTAAAGCACCAAGAAACCACCTAATGCTAGACTGCAAGGTGTGCTATACAAACCAAGCCTGACTGCTTCTGATAAACAAGGAACACATGATGGCGAGTAAAGCATAGTTTCTCCTCGACAGTTTTCCTGAACAGTGATGTAAGAAAACTTTTCTTGAGCAGATTTTGTGCAAGTTGGCAGTCACAGGATAAAACCAGCCTTATGACGCCTCGAACGTTCTCTCTGAATGGGATTCCAAGTTGTTGCCATCCCGGAGCACTGATCTAAACAACGATGCGTAACACATCCTTACTTCACTGGGGGCTGTTCTATTTTCATCACAGTTCTTGTACTGAGGACCTATATTCTTGAGCTAACGGTCATGGGGATTCTTCCACGCCACGATATTCCTGACAGAATGTCACCATGTGCAACCTGACACCAAAGCATCTTCCTATCCCATTGCCTCCTCTTGATGCATTTAAAGCTGTTTGCATTCGTTTAAAAACCACGCAGGGGCCTCACGTACTGTACCAGTTATGGAAGGACCCAGAATCCCTCTACAACCTTGAGGCACCTGTGACAGACTGGCTCGGCTTGACTTAAGTTTCTCCCACCTTAGCAGGTATCGTGCTCAGCTTTGGAGTGGGCAGGCCTTTTATTTCAGCAGAAGAGTTTCATATTTTAAAGATTCAGGTTCTGCCACACTTACGGACTCCGGAGCTTTGATGAAGACTTTGGATTTCCCAAGCTGGTATTGGTCAGGATCCATGTTGACTGACTGAAGCAGGTGAAGAACTCCTTGTTTCTCATCTCCTTTCCAGGAAGGCCAAGTTGCCTTGGTCAGAATGGCGTACCTTAACCACCAAGGAGAAGAGATTAAAACCTGACATCGAACAGCAGCAGAATACCACTGACTTTGTCAGTATTACCCTGGGGGTAGGGTTGACAATTTTGCCAGGACTTACAGAAGCCTGGAGTGTGGGAAGATGTATGGTATTAAGATGTTACTTGTTCAGCAAGACCAAACAAGTGCCATGAGAAGACAACAGTATTCAGAAGTCTCCCATTTCCAGATGCCAAGTTACTATTTGGTAACTGCAGTAGTTACCAAGCTATTGCAGTTACCAAATAGTAACTACTACTAGAAAGTTCTGCTGTGATCTCCATAAGTCCATGGCAAGGTTATTTACTAGCAATGACTTATGATCCAGATTTAAGTACCTACATCACTGCTATTCTGGATTCGTTCCCAAGCATGTGGCAGATTTCCCACTCAAGCCTTCTCTGTCTTATTCTTACGAAGTCCTTTTTTGTTTCTAAGTAAGTTTCCAGCTCATGCTCCTACCACCTGTTCAAGAGCTGGTCTGTATTTAGCAAGGAGACACTCTTGGGTTTATCCCTGAAACCCTTTGGCTTGGCCTCAGGTGCAAGAGCAAAGATATAGTGATGCTGGTGCTACCTAGAGGGAACACTGGGAACTGACCACACGAAGGGTATGAGGAGGAGGCAGGGAAGTGCTGTGACAATGTCTTTGATAGGTAGTCTTCTGTCTCATGGCATTTTCTTTCAGCCTTGAAACTGAGGTGGATGCCAGGCTGCAGCCCGTTTTGAAATGTCCACCTTTTCAGGCTTAACCTGGGCTTTTGGAACTGCCAGGTTGGAATTGCAAAGCTGCCTTGTTCCACTGCCTGCCACGGAGCACTGATGAACTTCAGCTGCCTCATTTGCCTACAATAATTAACTTCTCTAGCAGCAGCTATTTAGATTCTTTAGACAATGAGAATGAAGAACAGCTAAATATGCTGTAACAAATTTCTCCCCCATATCTTTCATGTTGATGTTTTTTTAATGCCTTAAGCATACTTGAGTTATGTAAATTAAATCATGCTTATTAGTAAAACTATTCAACTGATGAAAAAAGTTATGAAGTATGGGGTTCAGTTTATTGTAATTTCCAAGTTCTTGTTCTTAAGAACACTGAGGCAGCTCCTAACATAATATTCTCAAAAATCACAAAAGAAATTGTCAGAAAATTCATTAAGGCAATGTTCATTAGTCATTCTTGTCACATCTAAAATGTTATCTACCCAGAAAGCACAAAGTGTCATGCAGCTTAAATAACAATACCATGCAACAAAAAATACCAAACAATTAAAAAGGAACATATCACAAAACCCAAACACCTCTGAATAACAACTATATGAAAAGACAAAGCTAACTTATGAATAATTCAGTAGGATTCAAAAGGGTCTCCTGATGTTACTGTGTTCAGATCTGGTTTTAGTTAAGAAATGCTCAGGTACTGTGCATGGTGGTGTAACAAAGTAGCTCTTACACCATCTCAAATGCAGAAGCATACTACAGATCTGTTTACAGACAACGTGTGCACTTACACATTTATATAATTTATCAATGTTACCTGATAAATAGATGCAGTCTAGTAAAGAGTTCTAAGTTAAAGTAACTCCCAGCTTATTTACTTAACAGCTTTATGTGCAGGTTCACCATGTACTGCCAACAGCATAGTTGTATAGGTGGTTCTAAGCAAGTCTGAATTTAAAGAAGCTGATGTTGTGAAAGGCATTTGAAACTGCTACCTTCCACACAACAGAATGTGACATTACCTTTCAGCATGTTACAAATTCATTCCTACATCTTCTGAGCCATGAAGGAGGGCACAGGGAAAAACATGACTTAAGACCTTTTAATACAGGAAAGCTATCAAATACATAATAAGAATAGATTTGAAAGTCTCATTTTTCATAAGCTCTAACTTCATACATTTACTCGTGTGACAAGACTACAGGGCAGAAGACAAAACGTTCTACAACATGCACCAATGGAGCATTTCACAATGCTGTACTGTGGCAATTCTCTCATTGTTCACTGCTGCTCAGAAGTAGCACTTCCATGTACTTGTGCCTGCTTCCCGTTAAACTGGTCATGCCACTACCCATGTCTCTAGGTTTTTCAAGCCTGTGCAATGTGTCCTTGCAGAGGATTTCAGCACCACTACTAAACGTGTTCCTAAAATGCTTCTGAGAATTTTAAATCGTGACTGCCCCCCCAAAATTATCTGTGGTAAATTCACAGTGAGCAGTTAGGTCCTATTGTCTAAATATGGGAGTATGGAGTTCAGCTTTCAGATTGGTTATGCTTGAAACACATAGGCCTTTTCAGTGACTGGGGCTTTTTGCATGCAAATGTAAATTTTGTACATAAAAGTCTATTCAGCCCAGAAACCTCCACTTCTATGGAGCTGCCAAGGAACGCCCAATGAAAACAAGTGTACAAGCATGCATTTCCTGTCCATCCCATGCCTCAGCCCACTTTTACTCACACTCACTCAGGGTGTCAGAATAGAGCTTGTTCTGGATGCTAGGGAACTGTGAATGGAAAGGTTGCAGGAAGAGTTTTATTCATAAAAATGTTAAATTTAACAAGACTAATTTGAAACAAATGGATGAATTAGATAAAGAATGGGTTCAGCTGCCTGTAGACCTCTGTGTATGAAGCGAAGTACAGAAATCTATTCACCGTACTAAAGTACCATATAGCTTTCCTTTGTGCAGACCTCTTGGGTGGATTTCTAGACCTGCACAGCCCTCACCATCAGTGTTCAACCGTGGAAGCTAGATTTAATACACATTATCCTGTCTCAGGAACAGTATGTGTGAAATATGAACATGAACGTGCTCCAGGATGCATTATGTCTGGGCTTGAAGATCAGGAAAAAAAGGGATTTAAACTGTCCTCCTCATGATATAAACAACTATGCTGTAATACTTCTAAATGAGTATTACCTTACCTCTGCAAAAACTTCTTGAAAACACGCCTGTAGGCATAGCCAGCTCTTCTTACTCGAATATTTTCTTTCAGACCTAAGTATTCCACTTGGTGTTTTACCCTGTGGACAAAAACAGTGCAAGATTTACAATTCATTTTCTTTCACCATGCTTGTGGATTGAGGCATTCTTGAAAGTCGGTGTCATGTTCAAACACTACTGACTTCTAAAATGCATGCACAGGTGTATGAATCTGGTTTTGCACATTACCATGCACACTGCATGGTAAGAAAAATATTGAAGGCAGGTAGACTATTTATTACCGAAATAAATGCAGCAAGTTTACCTTAGCATTTTTTCCTAGTTTAACTTCCCATCTCCTAATTTATGTATAAATTTCTTAGCTAATATTATTACCCATAAAAGGCCAAGTAACTATTACCTATACAATTACACAGCTGGTATCCAAGGGCATGAAAAATTGTTTTATATTCTTTCATAGCAGGCTTCACCCATGTTTTACATAACTCAAACATCAACAGTAGCTCTCTTTTGGTTGTACTGGAGAAAGGATCAAATCTGATGGCTGGACAAAGCCCCAGATGATGCTTGTGGCACCTTGTAAAACAATGGTAATCCAATCAGTAGTTCAGAACTGACAAGGATGCTAATCTTGATGACTGTGATAACATACAAAGACTTCTCTAAATGAAGAGCATCCATCCTGCTTCTCTGGGCAATGAGTTAGAAGCAGCAACAAGGAACATGAGGCCGCAACTCTCGGATCACTACCCAGAAGAAAATGGGCAGTGGTTAGGTAAAACGTAATCTTGGCAGGGGGCAGCACGACCAGTGGCTCAAGAGAACAGAGACTGAGAATGGTGCCTGATTAGCATGAGAGGCCAGAGGAACTTTTAACCAATACGTGGTGGAATACTAATTAATGAACAAATTATGTAACTCCCAACCAATGGACATTGATTTGGGTTTTTGTCAAAATGCATAAATAGCTTAAAGTTACAATCATCAGTGTGCTTGATTTGTGGAGACTCCCACCGAGAACCCTGCACAGAATAAGCAATGTCTCCTTTCTAAACAAGACCCTTTGTCTCTGTTTAGGAAGCCCCAAAATGGCAACACGGATGCCAAACTTTCAGGACACAAAGAATCGGAAAGAAGACAGCGAGGCCAGTACAGTCAGGAAAAGCTAGCATTCCCCCTCACTTCACCATGCTGCAAAGGAAGGATTTGAGGAGAGGCAAAGGACTGGCTGAAGCATGTCTGGTAAGCTTGATCATGGCATACTGTAACTGCACACAAGAACGGAGCTGGTACCTGTCCCATAGAAAATGTTAATGGCTGTGGAGAGACTTTGCTGCACATGGAACTGAAACACCATTATCCCAAAGCCATTTCAGTTCTCTCATGTAAAACAGATTCACTTCGGTTCTGAACGGGGAACAAGTACGTCCCCCCATGAATCTCAAAGCAGAAAAACAGCAAAGGAAAAAAGCTGCCTTTTGGTACCTATTCCTCTTTCTAGAGCTGCAGTACATTATTTTATGTTCCTTCCTACATAACCCGCTAGTTACAACTAGGAATTTAATGCTTGGAAATTTGATTTGAAGAATTTCAGTTCGCTTCCTTAATGTATGACTCTTGCTGTTTGCATTTCTTTAATTTCCTCATGTAAGTCATGGCTGGAAGAGGCAGTGCCTGTTTTTAACACAGAAATGTGTTCAGGGGCTTCTGTTGCTGTTCTTTTATAGGGCAACTTACAGAAGCTTTAGCTTTCAGTCAGAAATACAGGAATTGTTAAGATTTTAGTCCTGCAAGTTTAACAGACAGTATGTTAAAGAGCACTTCTTTACATATAATCAAAAGAAGTGAGCCTGTAAGGAGCTGTTTCTCTTTTCTGCTTGCTTTTTCTCTAACTTAATGAAAGATTTTTCAAATTAAAGAATGATAGAAAGGGTTTGGGTTGAAATGAACCTTGAAGATCGTCTAGTTCCACCCTGCTCAGAATGCGCAGGGACACCTGAAAAACTGTTGATTCAATGCTATTTCTGTGCTATTTTTGAGATGTTAAATTTCAATGTAAAGTGCATTTCCCATTGATTTTTTTTTTTTTGGTCGAGACATTCTTTTCACATGATTCATAGCACAGAGGAAAAAATCTTTAGAAATCCCATGCTACAAATGACAGAAGCCCTTCAGCTAATACTTCTTTTTAAAGAACACTTTGAGAGGAATTTTACTAAACCATGAGTGATACTGCTCTTTTAGCTTATAATAGAGAATACTGCATGTTTTAATCTTGCCGTGTTCAAGGAATAAAGTATTTTGTACCCACTCCAAGAATTCTGGTACAGTAGAAAGCTGGTGGGCAAAAATACATTTTCCTGTTTATAGCCTTCCCTTCTGTTCACATCTGGAATAATGCACTGGAGAAACAGTATAACTCCCATTTTCTTACTGTCCTGCCAGTATTAGTGTCCAGCAACAGAGAATTTGAGACGCTTTTCTGTTTTTTTCCCTTTTCTTTCTGAGAAAAGGCACAGTGAAAATCTCCCTCCAGGCATCAACCTCAAGCAGGTCAGGGTCTGGGAATTCAGCTAATGCAGCAATTTTGAATTCAAGTCCAAATGGCTGTGCCAGGACCTGAACAAAAACACATTTCAAGAACACCCCAATTTTTGGAATAACTAAGGTATTATACAAGGTTTAGATATTACACAAGGTCTATGTTTCAGTGGTACAAAGCTGGAGTGACACGGTTTCTGCAAGCATGAAGGAAGACAGGCTTTGTGTAGGGCTTTTTTCCCTTTTCCAGTAGTATTTTCACAGTCTAGTTACATGTTACTAATGAGCAGACTAGATACACTACTCCAGTCACACTGTTTGATACAGCATTACGTGATCACAGAACAAACCAAAAAACCCCTAAACCAACCTTCAGCAAAACATCACATTTTGTATTTCCCTCCGCACAGAACTTTCTCACAGTAAAATCACAACACAACAAAATTAAGCTTGTGTTGCCATATGCACATCAATTTCTTTTCCCCAGATAGGTCACTAATAAATGTATCCTAGGTGAGGTCCTAGTATACTACAGGGGAAATCATAGTTTGAAATGGGAGAGAATGTTAGGATTTTGAAACAGGGATGAAGGGTTGCCATTGTAAGAACAACTTCCCTTTGTGTCCGAGTTTGATAGCGTATAATCCTTTGTGTTTCACTTTGCAAATGCAGCAGCTACTGATAACTAGTATCATCCTCATTATGGGAATACAAGAAGAAATCTTGCCCACTTTTGCTCCAAAAGGAACCTCCTGAAAGCAGGCCTTTTCTCTGGACTAGGTTATTGTTTGCTTCTTTCATTGGTTTCCTAGCAACACCTTCCACAATAATAGGCCTCTTTTCCAATATGTAAATGATCGATTTTAAAAGCCCCTCAATTTCCAGTTAGAAGTTTTAGGCACACTTTTTTCCAGGATCACTTACTTTCCTCCTCTGGTCCCCAGTGTCAGTGGAAAACTAAATGCTGCACAGTAGAATTTTCAGGAGTGGAAAGGCAAGAGGAGAGAAAGAAGCCAAAACCTAAAGGACACTTTCAAGTGCGGTCCCAATTGTGGCTTCTGTAAGTGCTCTACATCTGCATGTAATTGTGCTCGTCTGCATGCCAAATGGCAGGAAGTGAATTCCGGTGTGGTGTTGATATGGTCAAGAATGCTTTTCATCAGACTTTGCAAGTTGTTTCACCGTGATAAAAATAACCATGTGCTTTATCAGCACTTTTACCAATACACAAAGTATATTGTAATATAAAAGTTACCTATATTAGAACCTTGCATAGTATAGATACTGTACTGATTGCCTTCTTTCAAATAGAAAAATGCTATAAAGCATCACATAAAGATGCCTCAAAACAGATGTGACTGATAAACCAAAATGGTAATTTACACATCTATTTAATGTCTATATAACCACCTGATACAATATTCCAAAGACCTCTCTTTGAAGAGTTGGCTAAGGAAACTTAAAAGTCCCGAAGAGAAAAAAAGAGGCTTCTGCATTGTTGGCTATAGAGACTTCTTGGTAAGTTTGAAACAATAAAAGCAGGCAAGGACATCCTGCTGGCTCTTTAGCTACCTAACAGAAACTGTTCTCAAAGCATAAAGCAGAAGTTAGAATGGATGTATAATGCTTTTGGTGTGGAAATTCTACACAGAAAACTTGAGTCTTTAATATACTGGTTGTGTTCCTGTTATGCAAATGGTGATTATTCATAACTGCCACGAGAAAAAGCTCAGAACTGCACATACTAAGTGCTGATTTAGACCAAGTGACCACAGCTTATCTTCAGGGTTCAGGAGAGGTCATGCCAGATTTAATTTCTGAAGGTTTTAAGAGTATCTACTTCAGTTTATCTGTAGGCTGAATGACTACAAACTATGAGTTTTGGAGGCTATTTTTGACTATTAGCACTGTTCCTCATCATATACTCTGTTTATCCATACCTGCTCTCCTCCCAGTCTCGAGACTTCTTTGTTTCATTCGGTTTGATGCAGCGGATGTAATGGGGTGTACACTTCATCAGGGTGCCAACAAGGTCATTTGCTTGTTTCTGTAAAATTGAAGAAAAACAATAGGATTTGAGCTGAACAGGGTAAATCCTGTGAGAGAATTCTAAACATTATCAGCCATCTGCTGATGATTCAGTTGACTTTGGTCTTTCCCCAGAACAACTGAAGTGTCTTGAGATAACGTGCACTTTGTGAGAAATACACCACTAAACGGAAGGTACCGGTATCTCCAGCTTTGTAAACACATTTAAACTGTTTCATAAAAATATGGAGTGTCTCAGGTGAACTTGACTGTCAGGGTGAAATATATGGGAAGAGGCTGATGAAGTAGCATTTTCCTAAGTCTGCAAGTGTGTAATATAAGCATATATTTTATGACTGGTCTCAAAAAAGATGCTCGCCTTCTAACACTTGCTGCCTCAGTCAAGGCACGTTACGGTCCGTAGAAAGACTTCTGTTGACTTCGGTGGGTGTTGGATTAGGTCCTGCTGCATTTCTGCACTATAAAGAGACCAGTTATCTGTAGTTAATTGTAGGACATGAAGTGGCTGAGTGAAGGGGCTCATTCATTATGCACATGCAAGTAGTATTATCGCTCCCATCAATCGCTCATTTGGAAAATTCACTGCTGTAGAATGCAGCTGAACTAAACATTTAATGAACAGTGGTGCTGGGCAAAACAGGATTTTAATAGCTGAAACAATGCAATCGAGATACTCCTGATCGTCTCTACAAATGTCTGGACAGTAAAAAACCAGCAAAGACTACTTCTTTTTTTTAAGTCCCCATACACAACGTCCCCCCCCATCTATGCACATATTAACACAGCAAAACTACACATACTTTGATTTTACTGCCCGCAGTGGTAGGACGGCCCTTCTTGTCCACTTGAAGATTTTCAGGGAAAAGAGCCTTTATAAAAGGCCTAAGAAAGAATTAATAAAAATAGTGTTGGCATGGAAAGACAATTCAATGCAGGAATGTTAAGGAATACGCTGTAAAAGTTGATAGTTGAGCAGAATATAAATAGCTGTTTCTATTAAACTTGAGTTGTATCAAATCTATTTTAAGATTAGTATTTCCCATGAGCTTCATTCCTCACAGAGATCTACTGCTATTTTAGTGAGCCTTAGAAGACATGATACCAGACTTCCAGACTCAAAGAAACACACACTTCTTAAAAAGTAAGCCTCAATTAATTAAAACACATAACAAAAAAATGTCATTTTATCTGTTACAACAGTGCCTGCCCCGAGAGTGCAAATCACTGATGGCCTTGTTTGAGGCCCAAACAAATGGCTGCCATTATACCCTTTGATTCTGACACTGCAGTACCTTACTTACTCAGGTTTGCAGAAAACAAAGGTCAATATAATGCAAGTGATACTGTTCTCCTGCAGTGATGTTTTATTTCCACTTTTATACAAATGAGTTCACAAGTTGTGAAGTAGAGAATTCAGGCCCTCTGCACCCATCTGAACTAGCACATTATTCCTAGCTTTAAGCAAGTTTTGCTTACGTACAAATCACTGCTCTGCATGAGTTCAATCAAGTCCATGAAAAGAACATCCCGATTTCTCTCGCAGAATCCATCCATATCATAAGATACCTGGGCCAAGGTGGAAATTGAGTGTTTGTGGTAAGTTGAGAACCCAATAATTAAAGAAAATTTAAATTCTGTCCTCATCAGTAGCTGTTCCAACTCTTGGTTAGTCTGGTATAACTTAAAGATACTACAATGATCACTACCTCCTTGCATATATTATTAGATAACTCACAACAACCATAGAAGGAATTTCATCCATGTATTTCAATTCAGTAAGAAAGACTGTTATGGAGCTAGTAAACGGAATCTGACCCCAGATTAAAGACTTAAAGTCAATTTAATACTGAATTTTATTGAATGAAAACTTTTGCATAAGGCTTTACCTTTACTAACTGCAGGAAATCGTGAATAGTCTGAGAAATATACTCAAAGAAGACAGAACTGTACATTAGGTTCCCAGTTTTATTAGTATATCATCACCTAAGGATCATTTTTCTATCTGAATTCTTTAAATTTACTGCTATTATAACCAACAATTAAGATTACAATTATGTAAAATACTACGGGCATTTATTTATTACATTTAAGTTTGGTATGTTTGATAGCAACAAGGCCCAGACTCAACTCTCCTAAGGAAGGGACATGTGTTAGGGCACATTTGTTCTGAGCTCCCTACATTGTCCTACATTGAGGACACTGTCTCCTGACATAAACTGGCTACTGAAAATCAAAACAGCCCTTTACAGGGCTTCCCCCTTCCCTTCATTGCTGTTCTTTTTCTTTATAAATACATTAAGCAGAATTCAGTGATGATTTTCAACATTACCTTTCCAGCATAATGATGAATGATAAATCCCTGGTTCCAGCTGTTGAAATGTTCATGAGTCCCGATCTGCATCTGGAGTTTTTGAAGCAGTGTTTGGTCAGCTCCTTCTCCCACTGCATGCATTGTGGCACACACATCATCTAAAATGCTCATAATCCCTGGGGGATTCTAATGCATTGGAGGGTAACAAAAATGGCAAAAGAAGTGAGGAAAAGAATTATGATGCCAGTTTTTTTCCCCTGAAAACAGAAAAATACCTTTGCTACAAAAACACTAGAGCAAAGCCACAGCAGGAAGAATTCCTCCCGTCAGTAGAGTTCATAGTAGACACTGATTTGCGTGCACAAGTGTGCAGTTTGAGAGATGCCACTTCATGTAATCATAGTGACAGTGGGAAATCAATGATTGCTGTTAAAACAAAACAAGAAACACACACCCTTTCCCAATGCCCAACATTTGGTTTAGGTTTTCATTCCCTCACAAAGCAATCTTCTTTCTTGTTTCACAAAAAAATAGGCCTGTGTCTAAGTATTTAAACTCGAATGCTGTAGTGTGACCAACTCAAGAGCTAACTATCTACAACTGTGATATAAATCTTATCTTCCTAGTTATCCTAATACATATAGGAGATGGGCTAAATCTGATGGGCATTTAAGTACAAGTTACTATAGTTCTTTGAACTACTATTAAAATTACCTGGCTTTCATGAGGACAAAGAACTAGATGAAAAACAACCTACTTTTGTTCTAAAGACAATATTTGTTGTCACCCTGAGTCAGAACATAAAGACTTTATGTGGAGCAAAGACACAAATTTCTTCTATCTACAGCACTTCCTCATGTTCCCTCTTCGCTTGTTTCTGCTTAATTTGTGACAGTATCTCAGAGGAAGTGGGTATTGTAGCTTCCCCAAACAGAAATACATCACCCAGGGACACAAAGAGCTGTAGCTGATGTACAGTGCAATATGTCATGAAGTTCATGATAAATTTAGGTAGATAAAATTTTAATTTTTATCACTATATTTTTAGTCACACATCAATCACGCTATCTTATGGGTCTCTTTTTGGTCAGTATCTTAGATAACATACACCTTAGATGACATATATCTTAGCGTTCTTGTAAGACATCTTATGTAAGATTTATATATAGGCTTAGTATGACTCAGTAACTGAACAACAGTATTTGCATTTTGCCTATGAACGTTCTTGACAGCAAAGCAGTTGCCCAAATACTTTAGAGAAAAATCTTATTGCTTTTTCCATCTGTTTAAGTACTTACCACTTTGTTCTCTATAAGGTCGCACACTATTTTGTTGTTAAAATAATCTATTGGTGTCCACCTGATTCCTTCTTGCACATATTCTTCCTGTTGAGTAAAACGACAGATGCAAATATTCCTTTGCACCACAGATGTAGCACTAGATTTACAATGCACTATGTATACACAAACTCTGCGCTATTCATGTTCAGAAGGCCTCATCAAATGT